AAATGTTCATTAAAACTAATAAAATTTAATTAAAAAAAAGAAAGGAAGACCCTATATGAAATGGATTGACTCAGAAACTGGGGTAAAGGGGTTAAGTGTGTCAGAGACAGTAAAATTGCCTCAGGATAAGTCAATTACAGCCAGAAATGCACTATCTGGAGAGGATAAAAATTGATGAATGGAACCTTCTAAAGGTTAAATCCCTGGGCACAAACTTTTTCCAACAAAGTGAAAAGAAAACCTACTGTCTGGGGAAAAAAATTTAGCAATACCAACCGAAAAAACATTAGCAATTACATATCAAAGGTCTCATATAAAAAAAGGTACAGAATCCTACAGGGCACACACACACAGACTGATAATACTTGGACCAGGAGGCAATTGTTAGAAAAGACCAAGGAAACACTGCATCAAAATCAGGAACGGTGTATGCCAGAAATTCATACTATCTCCATACCTTTTTAATCTATTTAATAATTAAAGATTATTCCAGAGGCTGGGCTTTACAAGGAGGAATATGGCATCAGGGTTGGAGAACACTCACCAACAAATGGAATCATGCAAATGACATAACCTTGCTTGCTGAAACTGAGAACAACCTGAAGCATTTGACCTTGCTGCAGAAGGTCAAGGACTGCAATCTTTAATATGGATGGATTGAAGCTCAATATCAGGGAAACAAAAGATTCTCACCATCTGGACAGATGGCACCATCATTATAGATGGAGAAGAACTTGAGATTGTTAACAGTTTGAGATTGTCAACATTCTTGACACCAACAGTCAAGAAATCAAAAGACAAATTGCATTGGGAAAATCTGTCAGGGACCTTTCCAGAGTACTGACAAGTGATGATGTCAGTCTAAGGTGCACCTTATCTAAGCCATGGTCTTCACAATTACTTGCTATACATCAGAAAGTTGGACAATGCCTAAGAATGATAGAAGAAGAAGAAGAATCGATACCTTTGAGATGTGCTAGAGAAGAGTATTGAACATATCTTGGACTGCTAATAGACTAAAAAGGTATGTCCTTAAGAGGGTGAAACTGAACTACTTTTTGGAGGCAAGGATTTTGAAGCTCTGTCTCACATACTTTGAGCAAGTCCCTCCACCCTTCCAAGCATGATGTCCTCCTCTTCATGCTTGGAAGGGTGGAGGGACAGTACAAGAAAGGAAGACCCTGTATGAAATGGATTGACTCAGAAACTGGGGTAAAAGGATTAAATGTGTCAGAGACAATAAAATTGCCTCAGGATAAGTCAGGATTCAGATCTATTGTACATAGGGTTTGCTATGAGTTGCAGGTAACTCGATGGCACATGACACCACCACTACCACCACCACCACTACCACCACCACCACCACCACATGGTCAGGGACCAATGATATTTCCTATAAGATCCCTAGGTGGGCTAGTCTATAACAAGTTTCACGAGACTTGGAGCTAATAAAAAACAGTGCCTGGTGGCCTAGCCTATGACATAAAGAGACTGCCAAATACAGCCAGAAATGCACTATCTGGAGAGGATGAAATTGATGAATGGAACCTTCGAAAGGTTAAATCCCTGGGCATAAACTTTTTCCAACAAAGTGGAAAGAAAACCTACTGACTAGGGAAAAAATGTTAGCGATACCAACCGAAAAATCATTAAAAAAACATTAGCAATTACATATCAAAGATCTCACATAAAAAATGTACAAAATTCTACAAGGCCTACACACACACACACATGCACACACAGAGACTGATAATACAATTACAAAATTGCAAAAGACATGGAAAGAATTTTCACAGAGGAAGATATCTGGATGGACAACAGGCATATGAAGAAATGCTCAAAATCACTGGCAATAAGAAAGATGCAAATCAAAACCACAGTGAGATACCTTCTCACTCTAGTAGCAGTGGCAAAGTTTAACAGGACATCAAGTAATAAATGTTGGAAAGGATGTGTTGAGGAACTCGTATACATTTTTGGTGGGATTGTAAAATGGTACAACCACTCTTGAAGGCAGTTTAGCAATTCCTCAAAAACGGAACATAAACATTCCACATGAGCTATTCCATTCCTTGGAATATACCCTGAGAGAATGAGAACTGAGGCACAGAGGCTTGTACACCAATGTTCATAGCAGCATTAATCACCATCGCAAGAACATGTAAACAACCCAAATGCCCAACCACAAGCAAATGGATTGAGAAGTTATTATTCGTTTACACTGGAATACTATGCAGCATGCAGGAGTAATGATTTTGTCCTCGGGCCTAGTTTAAATTGTTTTTTTGTTTTGTTTTTTTGTCAAACATTCTTCTATGTAGTATAGCATTGGTTGGTGCATTGCTGTACATGGTTGCTGTAATTCTAAACACTGTGACACTGATGTGTCAAATGTGAGAATGGTTATCCATGGTGGACAGTGTTTGATGGAGCTTCCCGATTAAGACAAGCTTGGAAGCAGGAGTGGCATCCACTTCTGAAATGGTTTGCCTGCGGAAACTCTATGAACAGCGCTCAGGTCTTTCGTTCATAGGGTCGCTAAGAGTCGTCTATGACTCAATGGCACACAACAACAACAAACAACTACCTAACTTGAGAGGGACTGGAGAGCATTATGCTAACTGAACTAACTCAATCCCGTAAGGACAAATATTGAATAAGACCAATATTGTAGAACAAATAGGAGGATTCAAGGTGGAGGAAGTGTGAAAGCACAGGGCTGAGGATGGGCGAGTGGGGGAGGAGGCGTTAATCACAATTCTATGAGTAGGGAGAGTGAAGGAAATGAGAAAGTATGGAAAACAATGTATGTGAATTTTGTAAGTAAACTAGTTTAAATAAAAATTAAAGAAAAGACTTATATTAAAACAACAAACAAAACAAAACAAAAAGCAGTGCCCATCCCGGAAACAATAGTGAAGTAGCAAACAACCAATGTTGGCAAGGTTGTGGAGAGTTTGGAACTCTTATTCACTGCTGCTGGGAATGTAAAATGGTACCGCAACTATACAAAATGGTCTGGCGCTTTCTCAAAAAGTTGGAAATAGAAATTCCATTTGATCTGACCCAGCAATTCCACCGCTGGGAATATACCCTAAAAAAAACCCAGACCTATGACTCAAACAGATCTATACACATCTATGTTTATTTTTAAAAAATTTTAAAAAAAATTTTTAAATTTTATTATTTTTGTGTGAGTGTACCGTCAAATCAGATCTGACTGGTACAGGAGGAGATTGTCCCTCCTTCCCTGGCAGAGCATCTGGTGCATTCGAACCATGCGTCTCTGGGATTGTAGTTGCAGCTCCTTACCACTAGGCCACCAGAACTCCCACATCTATGTTTATTGCTGCATTATTCACAATAGCAAAGATATGGAAGCAACCCAAGTACCTATCAACAAACAAATGGCTAGAAAAACTATGGTACATTCATACAATGGAATATTATGCAGCCTTGAAAAAACAATGAACTCATAAAACATTACACAACCTGGGAAAGCCTGGTGGATATTATGCTAAGTGAAATATCTCATTCACAAAAGGATAAGTACTGCATAACACCACTGTTATAAAACAGGATGTATATGGCTTCATTGGGGAGAGAATGGGAAAAAAGTGGATAAGTAATGAACACTGGGTTAGAACACATGAGGGGAAGAACTGTCTGAAAGGAATATATGATTGGGCCTTATAAATATGACAGCAAGCTGGAACAAGGGGTGCATTGTGGGGAGGACTTGGGGGAAGAGAAGTGAGGGAAAGAAAACAACAATGTATAATAATGATGATGATGATGATAATAATAATAAATAATAAAATCAAAACTAGTGCCCACCTGAGGCTGCCCTCCCCTTTTCTCGGCAGCATACTGAAAGATTTGTGTCCACCCCTGATTTTCCCTTCCTTTCTTTTTTTCCTTTTCTCTTTAATTCTTTCACATGACCTATCCACCTTTCACCACTCGTGCCTCCTTTGGATTACCTTAAAACTGGCATTAAACCTTCTTCACTTGTTTTGCGAAATAAAACTAAAAAAGTGAAAGAAAATGTCTTAGCTGCACTGGATGTATTGGTAAAAATAAAGGAATAGATTAAGACTAGTTTAACAGGAATTAACAGAACAACAGATGCATTGCTAGAAGTGGTCATGATCTATGCCAAGAGGCTTGGAGGACAACTACGTGGTCAACTAACTAGATAAGATTTCTATTTATGCCCATTCCAAAGAAACATGACCAACAGGATGTTATGAAGTAAGAAGCAGTTTGATGAATGTGCTTAACTTGAGTTAATTCTGCCTCATGGTGACCCTGTGTGTGCAAAGTAGAACTACATTCCATAGGGTTTTCAAGGCTGTGACCTTTTGGAAATAATCTCCAGGTCTTACTTGGGAGGCTCCTTTGTGCGGGTTTGAACAGCCAAGGATTTGGCTCATAATTAAGTGCTTAACAATTGGCACACCAGGGCTTAAAATAGAATTATCCTAATTGTGTATAATGTGAGAAACAGTTTCTTGTCCTTTAACAGCTTTGTTAGTTAGGGTTCATAAAAGCAAACAACAGAATTTCTAGCTTGTTAAGCAGTAAAGGTAATTATTAAAGCATTAGGAAGCTCACAAAATTTCAGAGAATGTGAAAATCAGGTCTTTGAGCAGTGCAGCCCAAAGCAACACCCAAACCATGTGGTGAGATCACTGGCCAGCAATGCTCCCCACCTGGTCTGTCACGAGGCACCTTATACCGTGAACTGTGTGAGTGACCCAGCTACTGGACATCAGAACCACTGGTGCACCTTAAGTGACCATGCCAGTGTCCACTTTCTTGAGTTGTCTTCGGGTCTGAGTATTTTTGATCTTTATTGCCCAGGTCATGTGTTTGGAGTCCGGGCAAAAGGAAGGGGTGGGTCACAGAGTTTTAGTTTCTGCTTTAGAGAGATGAACTATAATGAGGGAAATTCACCAATAATGAAGAATCTGTTCAAAAGATGTTTAACTATCACCATGCCTGAGGAATGTCCACCACAGCTGTTAAAATGTTAGTTTTTATTAATTTATTTCAAGTATTTCTAAACATTCCTTTTTCAGAGCACAGTAATATTCATGTTTAATATTTACAATCGCTTTCTACAAAGATGGCGTCGAAAGCTAAGAAGGAAGCCTCTGCCCTTCCCAAAACTGAAGCCAAAGCAAAGGCATTAAAGGCCAAGAAGGCAGTCCTGAAGGGCATCCTTAGCCAAAAAAAAAGAGGATCCACATGTCACCCACCTTCCGGTGGCCTAAGACACTAAGACTCTGAAGGCAGCCCAAATACACCTGGAAGAGCACCCTCAGGAGAAACAAGCTTGACCGCTATGCCATCATCAAATTTCCCCTGACCACCGAGTCAGCTATGAAGAAGATAGAAGATAACAACACACTTGTGTTCATTGTGGATGTCAAGGCCAAGGAGCACCAAATTAAACAAGTTGTAAAGAAACTCTATGACATTGATGTGGCTAAGGTCAACACTTTGATTAGGCCTGATGGAGAGAAGAAGGCCTATGTTCAGCTTGCTCCTGATTATGATGCTTTGGATGTTGCCAACAAAATTGGGATCATCTAAACTGAGTCCAGCGGCCTAGTTCTAAATACAAATTTTTCTCACTAAAAAAAAAATATTTACAATCTACTACAGATTCTTTATCCTTAAATCCAAACACTATAGTTTGGATGAAACAGAGCAAATTGCTTTCTATTCAGCAGTGACTTTTTATTTCATGACATTGTTCGCAAAATTTACACCAAGCATGACTTTAATTATGTTTATTTCATTGTGGAAACAGGATCTGTATTGCTAAAGAATATTAGACATTTCCTTTGCAGGCTTTTTTTCCTTTGGAATAGCTCACTCGCCTGACACCTAGCTTCCAGCTGCTCACCAGTCTCTACCCCACCAGCCAGCATCATCCACAGTCACCATGTAGCTGTGCCACAAGTGACAGTCTACGGGATCCTGGCCCATCGCTCACCAGTTTCTCCAAGACCAGCTTGCATACATACATTCACAAAAAGGAAACTCAGTACGTTGGACGTTTAAGTTTAAGAAGGTGGCAGCAAGAGCTCCTGGAGAAAGAAAACATTTGAAGTTTCCTTCAAGTTGAAACTTTGAGAGTACAATGACCTCTGTAGCCTCCCTGAATAACCAGCAGGCTACAATCAGCTGTCCCATCTGTTTAGGTTACCTCAAAGACCCAGTGACCATTGACTGTGGACATAATTTCTGTGGTGCTTTACCCAGCAGTGCTGGGAAGATCTACAGGCCATCTTTTCGTGTCCAGTCTGCTTTCACCACTGTCATGACAACCATGTCAGCAAGAACACCCAGCTAGATTACATTGTAGAGAGTCCTAAGGAGCTTCTACCTAGGAGGAGCAAGAGGATTTGAAAGAAAGGGGATCCCTTGTGTGAGAAGCACAACCAGGTGTTGACCGTCTTCTGTAAGACAGATCTGGAGCTGCTCTGTCCCCAGTGCACCATCGCCTAGTACCACCAGGGCCATCACCTGATGGACACTGAGCAAGCTGCAATCCATCATAGGAAGGAGCTCAAAAGCCACATTGTGCATCTGCTGAGACCAATTGATGATGTTGTATCTCTACCTCAAGAGCAAAGTTCCAAGTCATGTCAGCTGTTGAGGGAAGTGGAAAGGAAAAAAAAAAACCAAGAGAACACTGAATTTTAATATTTTAAACAGTTATTGGCTAAGGAGAAAGATACCAAGTTGAGGCATTTGCACTTGGAATAACAAGTTAAGAAAAAGCTAATGGGGGGAGCTCTGGTGGCCTAGTGGCAAGAAGCTGCACTGCAATCCCAGAGGAACACGGTTCGAATCCACCAGATGCTCTGCCGGAGAAGGAGGCGCAATATCCTCCTGTACCAGTCAGATCTGATTTGACGGTACACGCACACAAAATAATAAAAAATAAAAAAAAATAAAAAAAAATAAAAAGCTAATGAAAAACATGGCCTTCATTTCAGACCGTATATCCACCATAAATGAACTGGTATTTGACATAATGGAAGGGTATGCAGACAGACGTGGAGTCACTGACAGATATTGACAGTATCCACAGCAGGTATGAGGACCTAAAAGCACCAGCTCTGTTTTCTCATGAAGTATACGAAAAGCATTGGCATCTCCCTCCATAGCCCATTATTCTGTAAGATTGGACAACACATTTAAGGTCAATTTGAAGCTTAATCTTGACAGTGCTCATTCCAATCTCATCTTATCACAAAACTTAGAGTGTGAAATATGGAAATATGACAAGAAATTCACCATATAATTCCAAGAGATTTGGTTTTGGGTTGTTTTTTTTTTATACCCAACTGTTCTGAGTTCTCAAGGATTTGATGCTGGCAGGCATTTCTGGCAGGTTGAAGTGGCAGGCTCATGGTGTGTGTGAAAATTCCTTAGCCCTTGAGGCTGGTCCATCAGCAGCTTCAGATGATAGATGCTGGCAAATGGACCATCGCAATGGTAGATATGGTCTGCATGATATATACAAACTGATTGGTATTGTTTTGGATTTTGAGACAGGGGAGCTTTCATTTTATAATATGCAAACTAGAACTCTTGTTTATAGAATCACTGACACTTTTACAGAGAAACTTTGGCCTTACTTCTCCACTGGAATATTGTCAAACATAATTTGTGAAATCCCAGAAGAATGGTGAATGACTCTAAACTTGTACATTTCTTTCTGTATATTATGGAAGGGTTTTAGTTTGCTTTTGAATTTTATTCTAGATTCAAAATAATATCAGAAGAGTTATTAAGTTTTCAATGTAAGAGGAAGGCAAAATACCTTATTGTTGTTATTTTAAAATTAATGATGACATTTGCTGTGTCTGTTTCACAAGAATAATAAAGGAATAAACTATTACAACAACAAATTTCTTTTGCTAGTAATTTTCTTTAAAAAGTTGTGTGCATTTAAATATGCATGTATATTAAAAGAATATGAAGTAATCAGGAAGCCAGGAAGTGAGTCAAAGCTGCCTTTTTCTCTATTACGCAGCCCATAGCATGAACTGTCCTTGAAACCCTAGCCTTTGTGGTTTTCCCCATAAGGATTCTAGCTTAACATTTGAATTTCCTGCCTGTTGTTGACTTTAGATTAAGCTTATTCCTAATGTATTTTTATTTACCTACATAATTACGTCGCTTTGAGTCACAGGCAACTCGATGGCACATAACAACAACATAATTACCTACTAGAACATCTTATGTCCATTTGCTGTAATTTTTGGTCTGTGACACCAGATTTTTGGAGTGCTGGACATGAAACTCTCTCATCATTGGAACAGAAAGGGTGATTTTGGACCTAGATGTTCTGGCTAATATTTTGTAGAGGAGTTGGTTTTACCACCACTCTCTGTCCCCAGCCTCCCTAACTACCCCTAATTACTGCCTCCTGGGTGGTGCGCATGACAGGAGTCCCTCTAGCCTCTAAATATTGCCACACTCTGGACTTACTTTATTTATTTTATTTCCAGGAAGGTTCAGAAAGTCCCTGTGATCCACATAATTAGTAAAGATAGACTCTGAGGGATTTTTTCATGTGAAGTACATTTGCAAAAGACTAACGTACAAACCAGTCTGTTTTCTTATCGGACAACCATCTAGAGGATGCCTACTAAAGAAATACAGGTGATGGCCATGGGGATGTACTACTAACCCAAAGACTGCACCTTCCTGGCGGTTTGAATCCACCCATAGCTTTGGATGGGAGGTCTCCTCTTATGTGATTTACAGCTTCAGAAACCCAATGAAGAGTCATGAGTTGGTTCTGATTTGATGGCAGTAAGTGAATTATTATATGCTAAGAAGCTTGGTGGTCTAGTATGGTTCTTATATTGAGAACATAAAGGCCAGCAGTTCAAATTTACCAGCTGTACTGACGGAGCAAGTTGGACATTCTACTCTCATAAATATTTACAGCCTTAGAAATCCAATGAAGGCCTGTGTATAGGAATGCACACAGTAGGTTTTATTTTTTTT